GGCACAAGGTATTGGGCGGGTAGTCGCCCCAAATCACTGATGGACAGGTGACTTACCTTTACCTAGACGCTTACAAATAGACAGCGCTTTCGCAGGCGCTGGTTCCCCCCTGACTGACCCTCCTTCGCCCCCCGGATCTTCGGGAACCCCACCCCTGACTAAGACCATGTCACTACGACCAGCAAACCTCTGCATCATCACCATTAACGCCAAAGGACTGAATAAACCTGAGAAACGCTCACATGCCCTGAGGGACTTCCACAACACTGGAGCATCTATTGTATATGTGCAGGAATGAACACACTTCCGGGAAGGATCTAGACCCAAAATGACTGACCATCACAAATGCATGGCCAGGGGCCACCTCATACAAAAAGGGGCATTGCTGGGAGGCTCAAATTACAACACTCATACAGGACATACACGCAGCAGACGAATCCAACAAAAGAGAAGGACTCCCAGACCATCAGGTAAAGTTTCTCTAACTAAGACGAAACCTGTCCACACTCCTACACACCAGACACCATAGAGAAGCAGCTCATCACAACGCATTCTTTGCCATACACAGCAACAAGAGTGGGAAACTCCTTGCGAGAATGCTAACCAAGCGCATACATTGCAAAGATGCGGGATAAATCAGGCACCTTACACCGTCTTCCCGTCAGGGTTCATGAAGTCATACGCTCATACTATTCCAAGCTTTATTACCTGCCAGGGCCACGAGACTCACAGACCCACACACACACGCACATAGAAAGGGACACGGCGGAAGCGCTTGACGAACCCATTACCGCAGAAGAACTGGTGAGGGCAGTTAAGGCGTCAAAGCCTGGCAAGAGCCCAGGTCCAGATGGCCTCCCGCTTCGCTATTACAAATGCTTTGCAGAGACCCTGTACACACTGATGGTAGCCTCCTTTAACGCGATCAGGGAGGGACACCACTGGCCCACACAATCCCTAATGGCACATATTGCAATTATACCACCCGGACCAGGTGGGGTTTGTGATGGGTCGCGAGGCTAGGGACAACACAATAAGAACACTATCGATAGTACACGGGGGCCGGCCAAGCACGGGGGCCTTCTCCTGCTATCCACGGACGCGGAGAAGGCCTTCGACAGGATTGGATGGCCATACCCGTTTCAGGTCCTTATACACTTACACACTTCGGTTTAGGGACACATATGAGGGGATGGATAAAGGCCCTATATAGGCAACCCAGGGCACAAGTTATCGTTAATGGTGCACTCACAGAGGAATTCACTATACACAACGGCACCCGCCAGGGGTGTCCCCTATCACCACTGCTTTTTGTCCTGGCCCTAGAGCTGTTCCTCCATGCGGTGAGACATAACCCGGATATCCAGGGGGTGGAACTGGGCGGTACACACCATAAGTTTGGGGCCTATGCTGACGACCTATTATTTTTTGTCACAAACCCTGAAATTTCACTCCCGAACATAATTAAAGCCTTCCGAGAATACGGCACCTTATCCAACATGAAAATACATTTTGCAATGTCATACATGCTCAACGTCTCAGTTGAATGGTCATACCCCCACGTCTCCTGGATTGGACGAGTCCAGGTAATCAAAATGACCTGGACTCACAGATCTCCCTCCCCGGTCCGCAGGCACAGTGCTGACAGCCGGCGGGGGAGGGAGGGATAGAGGACCCGGAGCTCAGGCTGCAGCTCCTCCGGGTCCTCCTCCCGTGGGAGATGGAGCGTTGCCACGGTTACCACGGCAACGCTCCAAATCTCGCGAGAGTGAACTCTAGCCCTGGAGCGTGGGCTAGAGTTCACTCTCCCCACTGGGACCACCAATGAATCCCCCACCGGACCACCAGGGAAATGTACCCCCTCCCCCCAGTAAAGGTAAGAAGGGAGGGGGGACATAAATATATATTTTAATTAAAATTATATATATATAATATATAAAAGCCCCTCTACCCTTATATCACACACACATACTCTACACACACACACTGCCCCCCATACACACACACTGCCCCCATACACACTGCCCCCATACACACACTGCCCCCATACACCCATACTGCCCCCATACACACACACTGCCCCCCATACTGCCCCCATACACACACACTGCCCCCCATACACACATACTGCCCCCCATATACACACACTGCCCCCCATACACACGTACTGCCCCTCATACACCCGCTCTGCCCCCCATACACACTCCTGCCCCCATACACACACACTGCCCCCATACTGCCCCCATACACACGTTCTGCCCATGTAATAATTGAATGCAGTGACAATAATTTATGATAATAAAGAGTGGACACATAGTCCTACAGATACAACCGGCCCTTTGAGGGTGACCAAACTGCTGATGCGGCCCCCGATGAATTTGAGTTTGACACCCCTGCTCTAAAGTATCAATATCCTTCTGTAGATACAGTCTCCAGTACTGTGTACAATACTCCAAGTGAGGTCTCACCAGTGTTCTGTACAATGGCATGGTGACGTTATATTTAACTGAACCTTTTGATTGAAAGCTCACTTTAATATGACAATCAATTGTTTTATTTAAGAGTATAGTCCATACTAAGAAGATATGGTACATGCACGTGTCTGCATTGAATGAAAGAAATGTTTTTGATTATATTGCAGAAATCCTTAGACATGAACATTAACCCTGTTCCATCCCAATCATAACATAATGTGTTATGCACTTAAAAACGCAAATGTTTCACTATGCAGAAGTGCTTCCATCAGTGGTGTACAAGAAGTACCTCAGTAAGGAGCTCAGGCCATCTAAATATTTTTTAAACACATATTTTGTTTTTCTAAGAAATTACTGTTACTAATGGATGTTGCAGGGCCCAGTCATGTGAAGAGGCTCCCCACCTTAATGGATGTTTGGATGAACTACATCATGGACTCTTCATTGTGTTTTCTCATCATATCCAATGTGATAAAAGCAAATTTGTCACATCATATCATTCCCCCTCATCCACACATCCTACAGTGTAGTTTATTTGTATTTATTTTTATTACTTGATCTTTATTTAAAGATTTTTCATTTTATGACAAACAGACAAAAAAATAACAACACATACATAAGCATTGATGTCTTCTTTTATGATATTAGAATTACACTCCTTATAAAAAAAAATAAAAAAAATTCTTGTTCTGGTCTTTTTCATTCCATTTCTGTTTATCTCCCGGTGTTTGTAACTCCATAATTCTCTTAATTTCTTCCTGTGTCGTAAAATCTGTCTCTTGTTTGATTTAGCTATGTTCTTTATATCTGTTATCCTCCTTTTTCCTTTTGCTAGTTATCCTGTTTTAGTCTTTTTAATCCTTTCTTCCCAATCCTTCCATCTTGTACTTGCATTGTAATGAAAATGGTTATCTATGCCCTTTTCCATTTGACATTGGTTTATAATTTGTAATTTTATATCTATTTTTTGGGGTTGGATTTCCAATTTTTGGCTATTTGTAATTTGGTTTATAATAAGATATGAATTATTAGATCTTGCTTATCTTTTTCAATTTTTTGCCAGCCTAGGTGGAGGAGTGTGATGCTGGAGAGAACTGTAGAGGATGGCACCGGGCTGTCCTGCAAATATATTGTACATAACTGCTTTCGTGTGATCTGCTGTGTTATATGTGTTTTAAAAGAATTGTATTCCTCTGATTGTTCGGTAGTTTCATTCCCTTAGTTTATTCGAATGAAAATACCGAACAACCAGACCTCCCCTGTGTGAAGTGTGTCCTCAATTACCCGTTGCAACATTGTTGCGAACGGGTAATTGATAGTAAGTAGCCGTCCTTTGTTCTCGGGGGTGGCCGCCATTCGACAAACGAACACGTGGCGGCGGCCATTTTAAAACTCCCGAACAGCGGTGTTTTGCCGTCGAGTGTCTGGAACTAAAATCGGACACTCGAGTAGGCGAACACCGCTGAGACCTCCACAAGCCCGGTCCGTTCGGTTCCAAACTACCGAACGGCCCCTCGTTCGGTAGATAGAAAGTACCGAACGAGGGGATTCAGGCGAACCCTCCCTAGCCTCTATAGCTAGAGGCTTTCGTGTATTTTGTTCCCTTATGCCAGGACCGACCGCAGGGCCCATTCGCATGGAACCTCATTCGGCTGTCTCAGTTAGTGCGGTCGGTCATTTTATTCCCTCCATACATTTCCCGAACCCCTGGTCTGATCTGGGTGATTTTTGGATATGTTGTTCACCCAGATCAGGGCTATCCGGGGATGTAGGATTTAAAGAGGTACCCCTACGTTTAGGGGTACATCCAGAAATGGGGGGAATTACTGTACTGGATAAGGGGATTATGATGCTGGCTGAGGGGAGGAGATGTGTGGGAGGTTACCAGGACAGGATTGGCTACTGTATTAATGATTGTAAATCCCTCCCTTGCATGGGAGCATGCTTTATAAGGAGACTGTGGATTAAAGCTTTCAGTTCTGCTCCTGAAACTGTGTGTCGTCCAGTTATTGGGATTGCTGGTGGGATATTGCTGTATTTTACCTGCTGGAAACCTTGCCTGTGGATTTACTATTTACTTGTTCCTGAGCCTCACTTGGATTATAAGCGGAGATAACCTGGGGAATATTGCATCTCCGCTACATTGGTTGGCAGCGCTGGGATCCAGACTCACAGAGGAACAAGCATAAATGGAGTACGGATGGAGATTGATTTTGCCACACTAAAACGCTCCACGCTAAAAGACCTCCTGGAGGCAAGGGGTATACAAGCCAGCAACAAGAAGAAAGCGGTACTCATTACTGAACTTATGGCGATGTACAGAATGGACGGCGATTCGGTTCCCGAACAGGGGAATTCGGGAGAAACACCGAAACAGAGGGAGTTCCAGAGGCAGCTACAATTTCGGCTATCTTTCTATGGGGAACACCCTCCAGCAGAGATTGTTTCAAAAACTATGACGGAAGTGCAGGAATTTATACTGAGAAATCAAACAGCAGCCCCAGAACGCAGCTCTGCAGTAAATATGCCACAAGAAGGTAAGCTTAAAATACCATACCAGGCTTTTAAAACATATGTGGAGGCAGAGGAAGATATAGACGCTTTCCTGCAAGATTTTGAGAGACTGTGTGCACTGCATAGAATCAGCGCAGAGGACTGGGTACCTATTTTGGCAGGAAGGTTAACTGGGAGGGCAGCTGAGGCATATCGTACTGTACCCAATGAAGAAATAAGGAATTATAGTAAAGTTAAAGAAATTATACTGGCCAGGTATGCTATAACACCAGAAGCATACCGGCGGAGATTCAGGGATTTGAAGAAGGTGGAGAAAGACTCACACGCAGAGTGGGCATGCAGGTTACAAAGGGCAGCCCTTGGGTGGGTGCAAGCGAGCAAGGCACGGTCCATGGAGGATGTATTACAAATGGTGCTGATGGAGCAATTTTATGAGGGAGTAACCAGCGAGGTACAGGAGTGGGTAAGAGACAGAAACCCTACCTCCCTCACCGAAGCAGCCAGGAAGGCAGATGAGTACCTGGATGCACGCAGGCAGCAAAAACCTGCAGCTCCAAAAGTCCCGTTTAAAACCTTTGGGGGAACCAGCTACCCCCCAGCTCCACGAGACCCCTGCCACCACCACCACCGCCCGCTGCACAGCCACGTTTCCGCCAGCCCACATCTGGCCCCTGCCACCACTGCCAGAAATGGGGACACTATAAAAGGGAATGCCCCCAGCTGCGGGACCGTTCCACTTGGATCCGGCCTGGTCCACCACCACCACCGAGAGCAGCCGCAGCCCACTACCAGGATATCGTGGCCACCCCGTATGGCTCAGCGGTTCCCATTACAACTGTGGAACAATGGGAAGTACTGCACAAGGCAGATCCAGTCCAGGCCAATGCTGACAACCGCCAGCATCACAGGCAGACCGTATATCTGGAGGGTAAAGCGGTTCAGGGGCTACGCGACTCAGGGGCTACCATC